ATAAAGAAATAACAGAAAAGTATTGACAGAGAAATCCTACAGTATGAAAAAAGAATTGAGTGTACCTGTTCCAAAAGTTGAAAATAAAGCTGAAACCTATGAGCCTTTTATTTCATGACTAAGGAAACGATGGGGTAAGAACAGAAGTGAGTCAGAGAGAGTAGCAGGCAGGCAGACAGGCCTGAGAAGTTTAAAGTGCTCAGTGGGTGAGTAGCTATGGGCTGCGGCACTTTCCTCGCTTTATTAGGGGTACAGACTTTTGCAGCCCCCCACCCACGACCAATGCATGCACCTACAAAAGACCTGGTAAGTATCACTTCCAGCGCGGAATGTCTGGTTGAAAGCAGTAGTTGAGTAGTTGTATTGATTAATTTTCTGTTGCTGTAGTCAAACACCATGCCCCTAAACAGCTCTGAGAAGGAAGGGTTTATTTGGGACTTATGGTACTAGACAGATGAGAGTCCATGATGGAGAGCAAGCTTGGCAGCAGGCAGGCATGGAGGGAGGCCCAAGAAGGAAGCTGTGAGCTCACATCCTCAAACACAAACAGGAAGCAGAGACAGCAAATTGGAGGCAGGCAAGGCTTTTTACTCTCTGAGCCTGCCCCCCTGGTGACGTATTTCCTCAAGCAAGACCCATCACCTGAACCCCACTCCCACGAACAGCATCACGGTCCGCAGACCAGGTACTCAAATGCCAGAGACTATGGGGACCATTTCTCATTCAAGCCACCACAGGAGTGTGTTTTCAGATGCATTCCGTTGGTCTGACATACGAAATTCTTAATCTGGAGTCATTGAGGCCAATGAAATCACCGGCACCCAGGCTGTGTCAGGCTGCTTCCCTGGCCTACACATGCTGTGTTCTCAGCCCTCGAGTTCTCACACAAGTGCTGTCACTGTTTACACTCTATGGCAGGTCTTTATTTAGTTTTGGAGAGTTGGATGGCCAGAAAATAAATGAAGTCACTCCCGCTCACTGGTTTTCCTTGGCCCTAAGCACCATTGCAGTTATTTCTTTAATGGAACAGGATGGCAAGGAGCACACCTCGAAGGAGCTTGTTCCTGAGGTCCCGGCACTATGGTCAAAGCCATGTCACTTTCCAGTATATCTGAAGGAGTAGAGCCACCTACTTTCTGACCCCTTACGTGTTCAACTGATCACAGAAACTAACATGCACGCAGGCTGTTCTAACTTGTGTGTATCTCTCCCGGGCAAATGGACCTCAGCATGTGTTTTCCATTTACATTCACTGACTGTCGCACCTTTAGCTCTGAGGATGCCAGGTGACATCAGGCGATCTACTAAAGCAAGCTCTCTAAGCCAGGCTCCAGCTCAGGCAGATTCCCCTATTCCTTCCTGATTCTCTGCCTCCCAAATTTCCACCTGGAGTGACTCCTTTGCCATACTGGCTGGAGCCTGTTGTCCCTGGAGGACACTGGGGGCGATCCTGCCTGCTTCCTCCATGAGTGAGTGCCTTCAGACAGAGCAGAGAGCCCCCCCCCCCCCCCCCCCCCCCCCCCCCGCCTTCTAGAAGCCTGCTTCCCTTTGGCAAAGTATAAGGTTTGTTCTTGTGTTTTCTCAGCTCATAGAAGTGCAAGCTGAGTACCACAGGAAGTCCTTGACACTGCTGCAGGCCGTGTTGCCTCAGATCAAAGCACAGCAGGGTAAGTGCACACCGCCCTCAGAGCTGAGAGGGTGGGGAGCCTGCTTGTCTTCCTGGATGAGACCAGCTCCCCCCCCCACCCGTGCTCCCCTGGGAACACTCATGTTTAGAGGAGCCAGTAGACCTCCCGGAGCTGGTGTGCAGCAGCGACCCCAGTGATGCCCCATGCAGTTCTCTCCATGCATTTCCATTTCCCACTAAGCCACAAAGATGAATGCTCATCTGGGCGCTCTGTCTCTCTGTAGAATCTGGACAGGGGGAGAAAAAGAGTCTGGCATGGGTGGCCTTGGGAAGCTACTAACTGTCCCCTTTCTTGCTCACCCCTCCCCAGAGGCCTGGGTGGAGAAACCTTCTTTTGGGAAGCCCCTGGAGGAGCACCTCATGATCAGTGGCCGTGAGATTGCCTTCCCTATAGAGGCGTGTGTAACGATGCTGCTGGAGTGTGGGATGCAGGAGGAGGTAGGCACAAAGCAGCCATGCCTGTCCCCCAGCTGGTCTGTAAGAGTCAGGGTCTGTAAGAGCTTCTCTCCTGCAGCATCCCCACCCTGGATCCCTAAATCAAGACATTCGGTGACACGATCACTATTGTCTCTTCTGAAGATACTAATAGGCACCATATTCTCATGAGAACCTTCACATTCACAGGATTATTGGAGGCTAACATCTGCCCACAAGGACTGTATGAGATATTCTAGACATCCCTTCTTTATATTTGATGTAATTTGGTGATTTGAACAATCTGCTGCTGCTTTTGCTAGTATTAATCTTACTTCCTCCTTTTTTTCTTCCTCCTCTCTTCCTCCTCCTCTTCCACTTCTTCCTTTCCCTCTTTCCTCCTAATTCTCTTCCTCTGCCTCCTCCCCTCCCCTCTTGTTCTTTCTCTTCTCCCTCTTCCTGCTCCTCTTCCTTTTGCTTAGTAAGTTTCTGATGTTCAGAATAGCGCTCTTAGCCATTTGTGTCTGGTCCTTCTGTACAGATCCTCACAAGTCGACTGATTGTGACATTAGAATTTTTTTAGAAGCCTCCTATAAGGAAGGGCTATGAGGAATTGATGTTGATCATTGCTTGCCTTTCCTGGTCAGTCATTTGTCTGGTTTCATCTACAGGCTCTTTTAACATCTTTACTCCATCTTCCTTTAGTCTGATCAGCCTCTCTGTATTGGTGTAGGGCATGCTGTGGGCTCAGTATTTGTTACTGAACAAAACACAAACATGGGATGAGGGCTCATAGACTTACTGGAGGGCATGAGTCTAGCATCTATCCAGTAAACATGGTTAGTCTAAGACAGACTGTATTCTTGAAGTGAGGGCAAAGTCGGGTAGGACAGCCTAAGGGCTGAGGAAGAGAGGGGAGGCGGCAATATGCACATCTGTGTTGGCTGTATATGTGTGCCAGGCCTATTCTTCAGAGTAGGTATTAAAAATAAAATTGAAGGGGCACATGAGCCAAGTTGCTGCTTATGAAGGAGGACTGTTGTCTTAGTTAGGGTGTCTATTGCTGTGAAGAAATACCACGACCAAAGACCAAAAAGCAAGCTAGGGGGGAAAGAGTTTGTTTGGCTTACACTTTCAGCCAGTACAACTGACCCCTTGTCAGCTTGACACAAAAACACATCACTAGTAAGCCACGGCCCTTCCTTTCTTATTCCTCCCAAGATCTTAAATATCTTTAAAAGTCCCACAATCTCAGCTGGGCGGTGGTGGTGGTGGTGGTGGCGGCGGCGGCGGCGGCGGCGCAGCACAACTTTAATCCCAGCACTCGGGAGGCAGAGCCAGGCGGATCTCTGTGAGTTCCAGGCCAGCCTGGTCTACAGAGCGAGATCCAGGAAAGGTGCAAAGCTACACAGAGAAACCAAAAAAAAAAAAAAAAAAAAGTCCCACAATCTTTACAAATTTAAACACATTAAAATTTTAGTCATTTTCCAAAGTCTTTTAAAATTCAAAGTCTCTCAACCGTGGGCTCCAGTAAAATACATCGTTACTTCAAAAGGGAAAAAATCGGGGCACAGTCATAATCAAATCAAAGCAAAACAAAATTCCAACTGTCCAATGGCTGGGATCCATTCATGATCTGGACTCCTCCAAAGGGGTTGGGTCACCTCTCCAGCTTCACCCTCTGCAGCACACACAGCATGTCTTCTAGGTTCTGACTGGCTCCACTCCACCACTGCTGCTGTTCTTGGCAGTCATCCCATGGTACCAGCACCTCCAAAATGCTGGGGTCTTCTGCTTTGACTGGGCCACACTTTCACCAATAGCCTCTCATAGACTCTGTTCTTGATGCCAAGCCTCAATTTCTCTGCATGACCCCTTCAGTCCTGGGCCTTCAACTGCCACAGAGGCTGCACCTTCACCAATGGCCTCTCCTGACCTCTCACAGTGCCAAACCTCATCTGATCTCCATGACCCCTTCATGCCTTCAAAACCAGTACCACCTGGGTGATGCTTACACATTACTGAGTCCAGCTGCCAGCATGAGGTACAACCTTGGCTGCCTCTGGAACACAGCTTCTCTGTGCTCTCAGGAAACACTTCCCAGAAGATTTAACCAGGGATGCTGGTCTCTTCTTAATCATCGCTAATTTCTTGGCTCTAGCTGATCAGCATCAATTGTCCCAGTACCATTAAGGTTTCACTGTAGTAGTACTGGTATCTTGTTAATCACAGTTCATTCTTCAGCCCCAGCTAACCAGAACCTCAGGATCTTAATTCAAACTAACACATGGCCCTGATAGAGTCTTTAAACTTCCCTCTGAAACTTTGTAAGCCAGGCCTCCATTTTCTGTACTGCTCTTAACATTCTTGTCTTCTGAGTTCCCACAGAACATCCCACTCAGGTCTTGACACTCAATGACTTTTCCAGCCCAAAGTTCCAAAATCCTTTCACAATCCTCTCAAAAACATGGTCAGGTCTGTCACAGCAATACCCCACTAAGCTGGTACCAATTTGTCCTAGTTAGGGTGTCTATTGCTTCAATGAAACACCATGACAAAAAACCAAGTTGAGGAGGAAAGGGTTTATTTGGCTCACACTTCCACGTTGCTGTTCATCACTGAAGGAAGTCAGGACAGGAACTCAAACAAGGCAAGACCCTGGAAGCAGGAGCTGATGCTGAGACCATGGAGGGGAGCTGCTTGCCAGCTTGCTTCCCCTGGCTTGCTCACCACAGCCCAGGGATGGCACCACCCACGATGGGCTGGGCCCTCTCCCATTGATCACTAAATGAGAAAATGCCTTACAGCTGGATCTCATGGAGGCATTTCCTCAACTGAGGCCCCTTCTTCTGATGACTAGCTTGTGTCAAGTTCACACACAAAACCAGCCAGTCCAACTATGAAGCTTCTGAACATCCTGATCACTGCTATACCAAGGGCTGCAAAAAACCACACTAGGCAAAGAACTTGTGTCAAGGTCAGAACTGAAGTACATAAATGTGGGTGATTTAGCTTGGAAAGGGCAGTTATATGATGACTATGATGAAGATTATGGTTGTCCCATTTTAGACCAAGATAGAGTTGCTGATGAGTTAGAGAAGCCAATGAGAAAAGGCAGCATTACTGTTGGTTACCATGGTTTTGATTCTTTTCCTGAACACTGGTTTCATATAGTGTCTGTGCAGAGAACAGATAATGGTATATTGTGCAAAAGACTTGAAACTAGGGGTTATAAGGAGAAGAAACTACAAGACAACATTCCGCGTGAGATTTTTCAAGTTCTTTATGAAGAAGCCATAGCATCTTACAAAGAAAAAATTGTGCACCAGCTGCCCAGCAATAAACCAAAAGAGCTAGAGGGTAATATCCACCAAATCTCAAAATGGATTGAGCAGTGGGTCAAAGATCATAACTCACAACTTACAGACTGGCCAGCCAGGTGCGGTGGTGCATACCTTTAATTCCAGATCCCGGGAGACAGAGGCTGGTCTACACAGTGAGCTGTAGGCCAGCCAGGGCTGCAAAGGGGGAAAATGCATTGCCATGGTACAGCCATCCCTGCTGTATCACTCCATCTACTTAATAGAAATTGCCCAAGGGTCAGCAGAAGGAAACTATTTTGCACTTCTAGCTGCTGCCTGGATTTATTTATTTATTTTTTCCTCCATGAGAAAGTTTAAACAATCTCAAATGTGAACATAAAATATTAAGGATTAAGACTGAAAATTGTCATCAATTGATAAATAATCAATCTAATCAATGGGTACATATCTTTTAATTTTAATCACCAAAAGGTAGGTTGTAGCTGGAGAATTTCCTCTCCAGCTCTCGCCAATCCTGCCAGTCCCAGAGCCCACTTATAAAATAAACACACAGACTCTTATATTATTTAAACTGTTTGTCCTAATGGCTCAGGCTTTTAGCTATCTAGTTCTTCTATCTTAAATTAGCCCATTTTTATTAATCTATCAGTTGCCACTTGGCTCGTGGCTTACCGATACCTTACATCTCGCTTGTCCTGGTGGCGGCTGGCAGGTCTCTTCCCCCCCTTCCCCCCCCTTCACTTCCCAGAATTCTCCTTTCTCCTTGTCCGACCTATACTTACTGCCTGGCCACTGGCCAATCAGTGTTTATTTATAAAGAGGAATATCCACAGCAGTAGGTGGTCTCTTAAACATGGAAAACTCCAGATAAAACACATAAAATCTAAAAGGGGAAAAGAACACCTAACTGTGGAGGTGGGGAGACAGCTCGGTCCCTAAGTACCTGCTGTACATGCGTGTGGAGAAATGGGTGTGGCTGTACACTCTTGTAACTAGTGCTGGGGTGGTTGGGGGCTGAGACAGACTTCTGGGGTTTACTAGACTCCTTCCTAGCCACAGACCTGTAAGTTCCAGGTGTAGTGGAGACTCCCTTCTCAAAAGACTAAGACAGAGACCAGTAGGGAAAATGCCCTCCTCTGGTGCCCCTGTGTGTACACCTGCCCACCTATACATACATTACATACATTAACCATATATACCAATAAATACAGGGGCTTTGTTTGTGTCTTTATATGGTTAAAACTTTGGTACAGTTTTCATAGTTGTCATCAGTGGAAAAATGAAGAAGGGTCTCCTTGGTCCCCAAGAGTCTCATGGAGGAGGCAACTGGGCTTTTCTTGCCAGTTGTCTCTCTCCTTTCCTTCCTTCCTCTTTCCCTCCTTCCCTCTCCCCACTTTCTCTCTTTCTTTTTTGAGGCAAGGTCTCACCCTATAGCCCAAGCTGGTATGGAACTTGCTATATAGCCTTGGTTATTTCTTTTAATTATAGAAAAACTTACATAAAGACAGAACAATGAGACTTTCCCCTAGCCACTTTGGTTCATCTCCACCTCTATTTGCTGCTCCTAATCCTCGTCTTGGGTATTTAGAAGCAAATTAATTGTGCCATAGTCTCAGTATATTCTGTAAATAACAATACTTTGTTAGCATTGTCAAGAACTCAGGCAGTATCAGTTGGTGAACTGGCCTCTGATATTTCCTGTCTGGTCCCCACCTCTCTGGTCTCTGCCCTTCCTGGGACAGTCTTCCTCTAGACAGACCACCACCCCCAATTTTGCCTTTTTCCCATTCTACCTCACTTCCTTTCTTTTGTCACAAATATGATTAGATTTTCCTTAAGCCTAGAAAAGAATATCTCCTCCCAGCCCAGGGCAGCCTCCTATTCCTTTCCTAATTCGTTGGTTTTGTTTTCTTATGAAGCCTGATTCCAAAAACCACGCTCAACATCCACTGCCCATGTGCATACCACTGCTCACTGTCCTCTTCTGCCCATGTGAATGCCACTGCTCACTCTGTCCTCTTCTGCCCATGTGAATGCCACTGCTCACTCTGTCCTCTTCTGCCCATGTGAATGCCACTGCTCACTCTGTCCTCTTCTGCCCACATGAGTGCCACTGCTCACTCTGTCCTTTTCTGTCCACGTGAGTACCACTGCTCACTCTGTCCTCTTCTGCCCATGTGAGTGCCACTGCTCACTCTGTCCTCTTCTGCCCACGTGAGTGCCACTGCTCACTCTGTCCTCTTCTGCCCACGTGAGTGCCACTGCTCACTCT